TTTATAATGAAAAGTAGCATAGCTGTATGATGTCCTCATCTCTCAGGGCTAGCCCAAAGAGAAGGAATTTTAACAGCTGTTCTTTTTAGCTCTCTTGTTTGTTATGTTCCTCTTAATATATCTTGATATAACTCTTGCTTATTTTATCAATGCTGGCATTCTCTGGAATGTTCCTGCTATTATAACTGATGATTTAACTCAATCTTTCCAGCACCTATCCTAGTAGCTGCATCAGGACGCCACTCACTGGTGCCCCTCATAGCCTTGGAAAGTAGTGGGATCGCTCATTTATTTTCAGGCCTTCTACCTCTCCCTAGTCTACCCCTACTTCTCCTTCCTGACCTTAGCTTTCCCACTTGGAAATCCACCATCCCACCTCACCCCCGGGCTGTAGCTCCTTTGCCTGTTTTCCAGGCTCTGCCTGGTCCTCCAGCCTTCCTCTGTTCACTTCCCTCTCCCAGGAAGAGACCGCACTTCTCACTGACTCCTATTCTACTCTGATGTCTTCCTCACTATGGGCTCTTATTCCAGTCATTGTTTACTACCACGTGAATAGAAGGTAAGAAGTGGAGAAAGGCAGGGATGGTAGAAGACAAGATGTATTTTTAATAGGAATTTCAGGCAGAAGATCTCAGTGCAGGACATATGAATTTCTCCTAATGATGAGAATGATGAGTTCATGGAGTTAGTTTTCCAAAGAGGTCTGTGCATCTAAAATCTTTAGCTTAAGTGTCTTTTTCATAGTATTAAAATGGCTATTATGGCTAAATAATCAAGCAGGAAGAAAAAAATCCAACTATAGAATTTTTCAAAGTATAGGTAGACTTCAGACGCCCTACTTCATTAATCATGTAGGTATCTTATTCAAAACACAGATTCTTGGTTTGACTGAATTAAATTTTCCAGGCCTCAGCTTTCCCAAATATGCTCAATAAGCTCAATAAGCTCATATGGCAATTTAATGTTGTATATAATAAAATACAGATGATTTATAATATTTCTATACTTACTATATGTAAATATACAATACATGTTATTTATTGGCAAAAGTATAGAGAGTAAGCCTCCTACTAAATTTTGGAACATAGAGCTAGAAGAGAAATATTTCACCTTAATATTTGTCTATTTTAATAATGTATTATGTAACTGAAATTGTTGATTGTTTCTTTTGAAATATTTTTCAAGCAGCAAGTGAGCACATCATTTACAAGATGTAGCATTAAAGCAGCTGAAATTTGCATTTGATAACATATTTCACAATTTCTGTTCATTGCCATTTCGTAAGCTTCCTTTCCTCCATTTCTACAAGTTCAAATATCAAGAACTGTGATTGGTTTTTCTTGACTCCTTTTTAACAAGCATTTTTAAACTGCTTCATATGATATTTTTCTCCTCTAGGTGTTTTCAAATTGATTTTTCTGAGGAAAGATTTTCAATTCCAGAATTTTGTCAGGTATTAAAGTCAAGCTAACAGGTCAGTATTTCCTGGTACCTCTATTTCATTTTCTCAATCACCTTAATGTTCTGGGCTGTTCAGTGTTCATACTGTCCATGCAGTATCATTTCTTTTCTGAAGTGCAGCTGTGGAACAGAAAGGAAGAACAGTTCCAAAATGATGACATAAAAATTTAGAGGGATAGTTTGTATGAAACTCTAATTGGAATTTTATATGGCATTTTAAAGGCACTGAGTATTTCAAAACCATTAAGAAAATTGTTATTATTGTAAAAGTCACTTTAAAAGAATAAAATTACCCACCAGACTGTTAACTCCGAAATATTTTCTTTGAACAAGGATAATCCAAAATAATGTTCTTATACTTCCATATTGTAATTAGCATTGGTGATAAAAATGTTGCAAATATCTCTAAAAGAACTATTACTGTATATTTTGTGAAATCATTTTCTCTTCTGGTTGAAGATCAGCTTTTTATGAGCATGATGCATTTCTTTTCATATGCTTTTTAATTTTGACTTATATTGGAAGAATGAACAAATTTAATTTTAGGGCAATCTGAAATCCTCATAAGTATTAAATTCTATCAGTGTTTTCTTTCTTTCAAATACATTTCATTGAGTAACAGTGTTGTTTGTTCCTCAACTTCATTTTGAATACTTCTCTATTCTAGATTCATCAGCTACTAATTGAGCATTCAAGTAACACAGATGTGATGTGCATAAAATGGTATTTGAGAAAATATCAAACCAGAAGGCTGCCAACCTGCAGTTAGTCTTTCACCTGCTTGCTTTTAAAAATGCTAAATATGATTCCTAATGTATAAGGTTGGTGTATTATTACACTTTCTCCACTGTTCTTTTGCACTTTGAATGCTCACTGACCTGTGAAGATAGATGAGTGTGTGAATGAACTTATATTTTGACCTGAGAAAATTAAAAGGGATATTAGAAACTGAACTGATCTTGATTTTTAAAAAATACTTTACATTACATATATATTGATTTAGTAGTTTTAAACCAAAGAAATAGAAAAATAAAAATTACACACATAAAATAGGATTCACTTCTTTTGTTTGAAGTAAGTGTGGGTTCATGAACATGTGTCCCACATGCCTGCATTTCCATTGTCACTTCACATTAGGTGCACATAGGTGTATGAGTTACACGTGGCTTGGGCCTTAAAAGGCGAGAGAGATTATAAAGTGGGAGTGCAGACTGGTGCAACCACTGTGGAAATCAGTATGGAGATACCTCAAAGCACTAGGACTGAAGTCCCATTTGACCCCGCTATTCCCCTGCTGGGTATCTCCCCCAAAGAATTAAAAGAATCATACCACAGCGATATATGTGCACCCATGTTCATAGCGGCACAGTTTGTAATAGCTAAAACTCAGAAACAGCCCAATTGCCCATCAACTGGAGACTGGATAAAGATTTTTTTTAAATAAAATGGAGCACTACTCCATCATTAAAAAAATGAGAAATTAGAGACATTTATAGCTAAATGGATGCACATTGAGGTGATACTCTTATGTGAAATAAATATGACACGCATGTGTAAATACCAAATAGTTTCTTTGGTGTGAGAAACTGAAAATGTAAATAAGGATCAAAATGTATAATAGATAATGTGAAATAGGAAGAAAAGTTACAAGGGGGAAGGGGAAGTGGGAGGGGTAGGGGAAAGGAAAGAGGGGAATGGAATAAATATGAGAGAAGGAATAAATGGAAACAAAGGTTTTGTAAATAGGGAAGGGTGGAGGGGTTGACAGGAGGGCAGGGGAATGGGGAAAAAATAAGAATCAAGACATATTATGTAAAGGTGCAAATCTCCAATGATGAATCTCATTATATTGTATACCTAAAATGTACCAATAAAATTAATAATCAAAAGAAAGAAAGAAGGCAGGGTCAGGGATTTTAGCTCAGTGGTGCCGCCACCTGCCTTGTAAGTACGAGATTCTGAGTTTGATTCCGGGTACCAAAAACAAACAACAACAGAAAAGAAAGAAAGAAAGAAGGCACCAGGGGAGGTATCACTTCCTGCCACTCACCTTAGACCATCTTGTGACTCTCAGTCATCTTCTATGTGAGTCTTCATTGAAGTGAGTTGTCAGCCATGTCCAGTGCTGCCAGAGAACAAGGAAAATTAAGAGGCAAGGGCTTCTTTTGCTTGAGGCAATTGACACCATCGGTGATCTTGTGAAACCAGGTCTTACAGAAAGCTGAGGACAGAATGCCAATGTATGTGGGGTCAGCAGTGAACAAGAATGCTAGGAAGTGGAACACAGTAGAAGTGGGCAAAGCTGTCTAGAAGTTCAGTGGTTATCACTGAGTGGGCTCCTTGGGGCCCGTATCAGGAAAGCTTCAGAATTGTCCAGTGCACAAACGGAACCAAGTTGAGCAGGGCTCTTGCACCCATAAAGCTTATTCTTGAAACACTTGACATAAGATATGAGTCACAGATGACAGTAAGTGAGAACTTAATGAATGTTTCCTGAATAAGAGAAAATAAGAACACGCTCAAAAGAAGGAAGAAAAGATTTTTACAAAGAGGCTGGTGACAAAAGCCAGGTTTATACTTTGAAGATGTTTATATCAAAAATTTATTCAAGTTAAAGAATTAGGCAGAGTCAGAAGAAACGCAATAATAAGTGTGATGTCTTAGGAAGACTTTTCATATTTATTGTCTGTGTATTTATGGAAAAGTACATTATCAGACTTTTAGGAAAGAATTGTAAACTAAAGAGCTTTAAAGATGAGATTTGAAATTACAAAGTAGGAAAAGTTCTTAAAATAGATTTCTAACTAACATTCACTCATGATGTAGTATGATGTAGTATGGGTAAAGAAAAAGGCAAAATTAGCACACAGGAGTAACCCAAAGGTCAGGATGGGTAAGTTGAAGTGTACATAAATATATAAATATATATATATATATATATATATCCATTTATATATCTTGAAATCAGCAGATTTCATTCCAATTCTGGGCTCCATACCTGTTTAAAGCCAAACCAGAGAGCAGAAATTTTGGAAAGAATTCAGTGAAGAGCTAATAAAGATTATTAAAGACTAAAGACATAGGACCTACAATGTAAGATTCAAATGGAATTTTATAAATCCTTATTCTTTGTTTCAGAATTCACGATGATTCATGCAATGTAGCTTCATAGGGGGGAGGTAGGGTTGATTCGTATAATTGAGATTATAATTGTCTTCTAAAAGAAATATTCAAACTTGCCTCCAAGTATAACACAAGATCTTCATCAAATATTCTTTTGTTTATCTATCTCAGCTTCCATGGGAGGAAAGAGCATTCTGACAAAATGTTGTGGTGGTTAATAACTAGCTTTCTGCCGCAAGAACAGAAAGAAAAGAAATGCGCCAACCCATTTGTACTGTGTAAGCAGTAGAGAAGTTAGTTTAAACAGAAGTTGATACAGGGGACTATAGAATCTACTTCCCTGTGGAGTTTAAAAATAGGCCAGGCACTCATCCCTTTAACAGGAGAAGGCTTCGGCCTGTGGAGTAGCTGGAGGACAGCCCCTGGCCCTCTCAGGCTCTCTTCCACCTCTCAGAGTCTACAGGCTGAAACAATGTCTGAGGAGGCCTCTTTGGCAGGGTGAGCCAGAGTCATGCAGGTTTATTTCTGACTACACTACTTTCTGACCACATGGAATGTGGTATATAAGTGAGGGTGGGATCAGAATGTTCCCTGTACCACACTCCATTGGCATTGCCAAGACAGGCTCTGCCCTCTACCAGAACATTTTGGCCTGCTGGAATCCCAAAAGACACCAGTTAGTATTTAATGATGGTGTTTTCTGGAGTGTGTGTGTGTTTGTGTGTGTGTGTGTGTGCGCGCGTGCACGCATGTGCACATGTGTGCATTCATGCATCCATGTGTGTTTGTGTGTGTGTTTATGTGAAAATAGTGTAAGTAAAACTCTCTGGAGAGAGAATTCAGTTAAAAATCAGGAAAACGTATGGGGAAGCTTCTTTTTTTGTTGTTGTTTTGAAGTTAGATTCTAACATAAGGCATTGGATTCTAATGTTAGATTCTAATGCTTAGCATTTGGTTTTTAAGAACCTTTGTGGGTTCTGAGGCCTGTGTAGGATTGTGGCCTGTTATTTGCAGATGAGGTTTTCTTCTAGGAGATGAGCTATGTCCCAGTCTCCTAGAGCTGCGCTGTGCTGGCCGGTTCCTCACAAGGGCTGAGGAGGCAGCAGAGTTGACAGGCACAGAGGTGGCTTTAAATATCACACACCCCATCATTTGGTGGGTGGGTGTGTTGTTGCTAACTATGCTTACATTTCATCAAAGAAAGTGGTGAGTTGCCAAAAACAAGGATGTTCCAATCTTAAGGATTAAGCTGAATTCTTTCTAGAGAAGCATTTTTTTAGGAAAAGAGTTTTATCCTAAAATATTTTCAAATTTATTTAAGCATTATATCCAAGGAAAGAAATTTAAATATTATGTCATGCAATTAGAGTCTGTAGATGAGAACAACTCTCTCTCTCCACAGAAGTCCATCTTCTTACTCATCGGGTGGTCTCAGGTGACCTCTATGGGCTAGGGACCTGACAAGACCACCATTATACTGGCTGACCAAAGGGACACCAGACCTGGAAACTGTGAGTACAGAAAATTTACAAATAGGTGGTGAAAATACAATTTGTTTTTTTATTTAGAATGTGGTTTCTTCCTTGGCCCCCATAAATGCTGCTTTTCTAAAAGGTCACTTTAGTTTTCTTTACCCCCCAGATGCTGAGTTGATACCCTTCCCAACAAGACTTTTCATGGACTGAGTTGGCCTGAAGGTCACAGACCACCACCAGTATGGAGGACGCTTGCTGCAGGTGCTAATTGACATCCTCAAAGAAGAATAGTGTCAACAATCAATAAAGCAGACAGAGCACTGGTAGATTTATGGCTTTGATTTTGAAAAGGTGTGGGAATTCCCAGTGATGTTTTCCCCTGTACTCCTTTTGAATGTTAATGCTTTATTGAAGATGATTTCAGACACACTGCTAGGATACTGCCTCTACTCACTGAAGCAGAATCCTCTGAAGAGTTGCTGAGGCAGAACTGAAATCATGGCTCGCCTCAAAGCAGCAGCTGTATTGGCCACTAATGGTGCCTCACACAGAAAGACGGTGCTCCTTTAACTCGGAGTTTTAATGGGAAGTTTCTAAGCCTGAAACAACAGCTTTAGATCCGGGGTGTGCCATCAGCTGCTCACAGCCACCACTGTCTACTGCTTTAACACAGCGTGGTCAGGAAGAATGGAAACTAAAGAGGCTTCTAACTACCTGTAACTGTTCCACCAGGAAATGGATCAAGTGTTTGTTCAGCCAGATCCAGGTACTTGACCCTAACTGCATCTTTGATGGGCTAATTAATTAGATGTTTTTCTGTAACTTTACAATTTATGCATGAGCAATAATCATATAGCTGTCTTTGGGTCCAAGCTCTGAATTTAAATTTAGCTGTTAAAGTCTAATTAAACAGCTGCCAGGGAAAGTTAACATGAGGGGATAAAATGCAATAATGCCTTTATTTTTAAAGCATGCTTGAGTTTATTATGGTACTGATATTGGATAAAGATGTAGAAATACAGGGTTTTTTTCTTTTCTAAGCTGCAGTAAATTATTCTTGGAAGCTGTTTGCCTACTACAGTTTTCTTTTTCCATTTACCTAAACCACCCAAGGTTGTAAAAGGTAACAAGGATGTTTTGATTTGTTTATAAAGGATCAGAATTTAACAACTCCTAATGAGAGTGCTGACTATCCCTTGCTGAGAAGCAGTGTGCAGCATGAGCCTTTCAAGGTGTCTGCAAGCAGTCTTTTCACTATGAAACACAAAAAGAAAGAGACAGAAAACCAGGGGGAACTGTACCCTTTACTATTTGAAATTAAAAGTCCCAGTTTGTTAGTGGTGAGTTTCTTTGGACAGCACCACTTATGCCCGGCACTCTCGTTGTGCTTCTCTGATCTCATTTGGGCTGCATGAAGCCCTCTCCCCGCAGGTCCCTTTAAAACTCTCCAAGCAGGTGTTAGGAGGAAGATAAAGATAACGATGAAATACAGCTGAGGTTGGAATTCAGGCTGAAGAGGAAGATTGCCCAGTGACCCAGAGGTGACAAGCAGCAGTGAGTTAAGAAGGACAAAGTCCAAACCCAAACCCAGGCAGCCGTGTCTACAGGCTGACTTTGCAAGGATGACCAGAGAGAACAGACCTCCTGGTGCAGCAGTAGGGGCTGGAACTGCTGCATGGAACTGCCTGTTGAAATTCAGAGCTGACCACTCTCTCATGTGTTAAAAATTATGCTTTGTGGTCTTTCTAGTAGTGTCTATTTTTTGAGAGTGAAAAACAATATCCACCATTAGACATTCTGTGAATTTGGAATCATCAAGGCTATTATATTAGAACAGTAGGACTTTATTTGGAAAAAAATATAGATATTTCCATGTATTTATGTGAGCCAAAAAAAAGGGAGTGGGTGGGAGGATTTAAGATGTATGAAGCACTTAGAAAAAGGCAGGAAATCTTTACCTGAAGTTCTTGGCCTCTCACAAATTCTTTGAATTTATATGAAACATTTTGTATATTTGTATTAACATCCTGGAATGCAAGTTATTGTTTCCTGGGGTAATACGAAGAATTTCCAAAAGATTCATAAGGGAAAAACTTTTGCTTGTGGTGATTTGATCATTTAGATAACGAGGTAGCTTTTGAAAAGAGTTCACAGTTGTTGGGGGAGATGTATATAGGGTCACCTGGGAGGTTTGCACATCTAGAAGGGTGGGATGGACCTGGAGAGACTCCAGTTCTACAAACAGGAATGCAGTACAAGCTTCCTTTATCTCAAAAAGTGAAGAGTGATTCTATTTAGCCCCAGTCTTGGGATGTGCATTACTGCACTAACGGCAAGTGGAGTTATCATCTCCATAGTCAGCTTCAGAACAATGCAGCACTTTGGGGAAGTTTGTCTTTACCAGTTTCTGCAAATGCAGCCCTGCCTAGCTGGCCAGTTCCTTTCCTGTTAGTCTACAAATTAGTCCCATCAGTCTGCCAGGTAAATATAAATAAAGTACACAGGGTGCCTTTGCAGGGCAAAGTGTTCTATCAACTTAAATTAGACAAGCCCATGAGTGTTCTTGCTCAATGGATAGGCTGTTTTTACACCCACTTTTAATAACATGTCAAGTCATGTATTTAGGTTCCTAGCCTAGAAGGTTTAAAAATTAGGTACAGTAATTATGTGGTTTAGGAGTACTTAAAATACAAACAACATTGCTTAACTGTACCCTACATGTCATTCACCCAGAGGGGTGAGGAATTTCAAGTCATTCCAGCATACCAGAGAAAAACTCAGGATACTATCTTTAAGGGGTAAAAATGAATGCTATACTTTTTCTTTTTCTTTTTTTTTTTTTTTGGTACCGGGGATTGAACTCAGGTCCTTGCTCTTGCAAGGCAGGCAGCAGAACCATTGAGCTAAATCCCCAGCCCTGAATGCTCTACTTTTGATAACTGATTTTTATGATTCTGGCCAATTTATTTATACATTTTCTTTTTGTGTGTGTGCTTAATTGTACAAAAAAAAATTGAAATAATTCTCACTTTGCCCAAAAATGAAGAAAGGGAAAACACTCCTTCATCACCAGTCATTTATCAAACCTCCACTGTGCTAGGTGGGCTACACATAGCTGCACCCACTCTGCTGGGATCACTGCAGCTCATTCCAGGAGAGGGGTACCATGAAGATAAGGTGGTAGAATCAAGTGTCTGTGTTCCCAAGAACAATGTGCCTAATGCATGTAATTGATTCTGTTGCTGTCACTTTAGAAAGAAGAAAAGAAATCTGTCATTTTGTTGGTATATTTTTTTCATAAAAAGTATTTCTCCTTTCTGTGAAATTGTGTAATGAGATGCAAATAAAATAAAATGTCCCAAGAAACATACATATTGATATTATAGTTTGCATTTCAGACATTGGGATTCAGCATATTTTAAATAGCTGCCTTCCCTCACCACCCCCCTCAAAAAAACCCAGATGAAGTAAGAAAGGACTGACTTCTTCAATAGAAGGGTAACTGCTCACCTCTGACTGATTTTCGTATTTTGAACTCCACTCATTAGCACTGAGGCCAAGGAAAATTTAAAGGGCCAAATAATTCATGGCTTTTCGATTCATGAGCTCTGTGCCTATTACATGTCATTATAGCTTGGACTAGCTGTGATTCTTTGAAACAAGATCTATTTCTAACACAATGATCTGACATGACAGTTGGGCTAAATGACAATTTTTTTTTTGGTACCGGGGATCGAACTCGGGTCCTTGCACTTGTGCGGCAGGTGGCAAAACCACTGAGCTAAATCCCTGGCCCATAAATGACATATTTTTTCCTTATTTATATCAGTTAGATGGAACCCTAATTTTTAAATTCAGTTCCCTGGACTGTAAGGGGCTGAAGATTTGATTGAACCTCTACTCAAAGAGGCAATGGTCCCAGAATAGCAAGGAACTTCTGCAGGAGCTTGTTGTTTATTAAGGGGAAGGTGATAAACAATGTGGACATTTGTCCTGTTGTGATTGCTACCCAAGTAAGGTGAAGTCTGGAGACAGAGTAGGAAGGTTCCCATCCCTCAGAAGGAGAGATGTAGGACCCGACCAAGGAGGAGACCTTGGTGTTGCCCTGAAGTGGAGGGAGCAGACAGGAAGAGGAGTGGAGGAGAGCGTTATGAAGTGGGAACCTGGGGAGATCTTCAGACACAGCAGGGGTCAGAAGGAGCTGAGGGGTGGACAAAATGGAGACATTTTCAGGTGTCCCAGGACTCAGTCACATATATGTTTATTCTTACCAATACATTGGGCATTTTAGTGAAGATCAAATGTGATTTTATGCTTGTTGCTTTTTAAACTTATGAGGATAAATTAATATCTTAGAAAACGCCACTGTAAGTAAGTTCCACTTTGTGGTCCAAAATACATCAGAGATTCAGGGCCACAGTGGGCTGTGGACACAGGGGTAGACAGGCCTGCAGGAGGAGTAGTAAGATCTGGACTAGAAAGATGACTGGAATACAGAGTGTAGAAAGTATTGGTGAAGGAAGAGAATACTTTGAAAATTACTAAGGTGAGTGGCTAATGGTGTGAATGGCCATGGCTAAGATGTACTGCTCATAAGTGGCTTCAGGTGCTTCCTACTGTCAATATTGAAGAGCACAGAGAGCTTGCCTTGAGAAAAGGGATTGTATTATAATATTTTAATGGGATCTTTTCATTGAGATTTTCTTGGTCCAGTATTAAAATTAGACTTTATTTCCTGAGCACGCACAAATGGACTTGACAAAGGGAAGACACAGATGCACTGCGTGATGGGAAAAGCCAGTCAGGACTAAAATATTTCCGTGAGTAACTGCTTCTTCTTCATGCTTAAAATAACTGCCATTTGTTATTAGGAGGCCTGTGATGCTCATGTTCCAATCATTTGAAATACTTTGTTAGCCCAGATTCTACTGTTTGTCTAAAGATTTCATTATTCAGTTAAAAGTAATTATGAACATTTTCTAAGAATCATTTTTACCAAAGAAGGACATTGTACTTTAAGACAAACATTTAAAAAAATTTAGGTGTCTGACTATTTCTGCATTGTGGTAATGAAGTGATGAAATTTTTTCCTCTATTTTATAACTGATGCTTCCTTCAACTTAACCATGCAGCGGAGCTTTCAAAATTTGTAAATTATTTATTAGCTGATTAAAAGTTTAAAATCAGGCAGGATCTTCCAGGGACTTCAATCAGTCCTAAGCAAAATTGTGAAGTGGTTGGCATTTGTTTCTCAATCTCTTTATCCCCATATCCCTTTATAATCACCTTCTGAGCCTCTCATTTTTACCCACCATCTTTCTTTCCTCCCTTATGGCACCCATATCTGCCCCCATCCTTTTTAGCAGTCCCCCAGTTACCAGAAAGATCTTCCTTTTCTCTAACTACATTTCCCTCCTCTTTCAACTTCCTTTCTATCAGCCAAATTTCTCCATCTTTCAAGTGGGGACAGTCCTCACAGGTAAATTTCTGCTAAGATGCTAATATGTCCCTTTCCTTTGTAAAATACTGCAATTTAACAGAGGACTTTGATTACTGGATCCAAAGAAGTTATTTTAATAAGAACATGGACACCATGGTATGCCTGGAGAGGAAGGTTTACAAATCATCTCTATTTGCTCATCAATTTGTCATTTCTAAAAGAGCTTGATGATGAAGGGGTTCACTGTGTGTGTGTGTGTGTGTGTGTGTGTGTATTTCAGCAAGCCTCTCAAAATGTGTAGTCAGGTTGCAGAGAGAGTTAACCATACTTTCACCTCTTGACTTTGTGTATGTATGTGTGGTCGGGAGATCAAACTCAGGGCCTTGCGCATGCTATGTGAGTGCTCTAGCACTGAGCTGCATCCTCACCATCTCTTGACCTTTAATCAGAAAAGGGTGGTAAAATGAAAACTCATTTTAAAATCATCTTAATAGTTTTGATTCCTGTGGAGAAGCTGAGCCCCCGAAAAGGAAGATGTACCAGAGAGTGTGAATCAGAACAGTTTAGTCTCTTAGCTGGGGCTTCTGAGGTGTCTGTCCATCGCTGTAGCCCCTAAATGGATAGTATGTGGGCTCTCAGTCCTGAGCTATGGGTTAAGCCTAGGAAGTGTAAGATGTTGATCTAGGAGAAAAGGAGTGGCATTTTGCCTTGTATGGAGGAGGATCAGGAGGTTGCTTCTAGCTGTCAAGATGGCTGTCTTCAAGGGAGGCACTGGATAAAGGAAAGCTCTGCTAGTCATCCAGCTATGGCCCAGGGTCATTCTCACAGGTCCTAGGGCTTCCTTATGCAGTTCTTCCCTCTTTTCATTGGACGCCACAGATCCAGAAATCCTGATGTTGTATATTTATACACTTAATGGTCTTTGATTTTCCTACATTCTTTGTTGGGTTATGTATTGTTTTCAGAAAGAACTTTCTGGAAATGCATTCTTATGTCAGCACTGTTGAGAATAGACCAAACAAAGCGAGAAGAGGCCCTGTCTTTATTGGGCTGGAGAAAAACAGACACAGAAAGGGATTCCAGTAAACTAGCCAGAAAAGCCAGGGTCAAAGTGAACATGGTCCTATGGATGTGAACAGGAGGGATATGTCAGAGATGGTCAGGGTTTGCCTCCCTCCATCATCAGCTCTCCTTTGTGCCAGAATTGGAGAAATTTATAATTGGAATGATTAAGGCCAGTGTGAATATTTTTTGGTGGCTAGTCTGATGTCCCAAGAAAGCTCCATTAGAGGCAGTGGCCACACTTTCTGCTCCCTTCTCCCTACCTCCAGTGGGAATCAATACCCAAAGCTGAGAGGGTGCTTAGAAAGAAGCAAATTGAAACCAGACCCCACTCACCAGGTCTATATTCCTAAAGGCTTATTTATAAAAAATACAGTTAAATTGTATCCCAATCTTGCTTCAAAACAAATATGAATCATAAATGAATCTTGCAACTATTCTAGACCTTAAAAAAATTCAAGCTGAATGTGGTGGTTCGTGCTTATAATCCCAGCACTTTAAGAGGCTAAGGCAGGAGGATAGCAAGTTTCTTAGGAACTTAGTGAGAACCTGTCTCAAAACAAAAAATAAAAAAAGGCTGAGGAATATATGTACATTAGTGTGAATTCTCCAAATTTAGTTCTCAGTGCTAAAAAAAAAATCAGTGACAGGACTGCAAAAAGACCTATTAGCCTCAAATTGATAATACCTTCCTTCCAAATACTAGTTGTGATCACCCTTAGAAATTATGTTTTAAACTGATTTTTATAAACTTTAAAGTATAAACTCATATACTGTTATGATTGCTAATGCTGCACTGAAGGTAATGATTATAAATTAATTGAAGAAATGCTGTGTTGATACTTTATACTTGGCTGCTTACTTTTATTGAGCATAATTTATTTGGATCCATGATAATTTGTATAGGTAACTATTGCATTACATAATTTTCCTTACAAATTTATAATGACTTTTAATATGGTAATGTCTAATAGGTATACTTTCCTTTACCAAATTTGATTTAAGTTGATTTAGTTCAGCGTCTGTAGCTTTAAATGACCTCTGTATATCCTTTTGTCTTTAAAACAAGCAGTAATATTCAAATGCCTCAATTTTTCCACCAGTAAAATACAAATAGTGTTAAGTTGTCTTTTTCTTCTCTTTCTCTCTACCAAGTGGTCTGAAGTAGCAGGAAGCCACTGTTAAGAAAACTGTTCTTTTAAAAACATGCAGTTGATCAATTCCTTTTCCCTAGCTCAATTCTCTAGGTGCTTCCCTGGGTCAAGTATTGAACTTGGTCTTTGTTTTTGAAGAAGAAACAAAAAGCAGCAGTAACTTGATGATTCAGGAGCCTGAGATACCTCATTCTCCCTTGGCTCAGTCAACAGAAAAAAAAAGTAGAAGCAGTATAGCTACTTTAGTCAGGTCTTAAGTGAAGCAAAGCTTTGTTGCCCTTTCTCCTCTTCTTCTTTGTATGCCTTTCAATGGGTTTTTTTTATAGACATTCATCACTATCATTGCATCATGAGATAATGCAGACATTCCTAATGCATTTTTACAGCTTCCTGACCTCTTCAAGGTCCCAACCTCATTTAGCAATAAAATGGAGGCCACATCCTCCAGCCTAGAGCCGGAAGCCCTCTGAGAGAGTTTCCATACTGAGGATCTTTTATGGCCTGATTTTCTTTGCACTAGGCCTATATAGGTCTCTGCTTCTGTAGAGCCACTGTCAGACTGGCTAACACATGTCAAGTTTAGCCACAGTCCTGGCACATAGTGGTGCTCAGTGGTACCATTATGAGGAAGATGCGAGACTAATATAATTGAGGGAAGCCAGAGCAGACTTGGCAGAGAGGCTGGGCCTGGGTGTTAAGTTGACTGCACACCTCAAGGTCAACATTTCTTTGCCCATTTCTAATCTTTTGTATTATGCTTATATTCTCTGCCCATCCCTCCTGGCCCTGTTGGGCATTCTGAGGACAGTCTGGTTATTTCACACAAAAGTGAGATATTCTTCTTCATAATTATATAAAATAAAGTATCTCTGGTGAAAGTAAAATCTTATTTACAGATTTCTCTTCTCTGAAAAACATGACCATCAATCTAGAAAATAAATTGTGATTTGATAGTTATTCCTCTCCTTCCCTTTTTCTCCTTCAAGACAATTCAAGATCTCCAGGGTGCAGTCACTATGCTCTCACCAGACTGATGATGGAAGAAAAAGGAACCAGGATAGCCCATGCTCTGACAGACCTGGACAATGGATGGAGGACCGCCCACCCCTTCGCCCCTAGTGCCCCTTGGGAACGTGTCATCAGATTCTAGCATGTCTTTGGAGCAGAAAACAACATTTGTTTTTGTGATTCTGTTGTTTATTTTCTTGGGCATCCTCATCGTCAGGTGCTTCCGGATTCTTCTGGACCCATATCGGAGCATGCCAACCTCGACCTGGGCTGATGGGCTAGAAGGCCTGGAGAAAGGCCAATTCGACCATGCCCTTGCTTAGTGAGACAAAGAGACTCTCTTCCTGAGGAGAGGGAGTGGTTCATGCCTGGGCAAGCATTCCCTTTAGTTAATATTCTCAGCAAATCAAATTTTAACAATATCTGGCTCTAGGACCACTGTTATTCCATAAACAAAGAGTTGAATTTAGATGTTTTATTTGAGAATGCTGGAAATGAAAGTTTATATTACTAACCAAAAATAGGAAGGTTTAAATGTCTGTGTTTAGTCAATGAATGAATACTGTTGAGTGTCAGACTCTGAAATCAAGAGCAACAGCACTGATATAGACTTTGCTATGAAACAAAGCCTTACCTGACCTGGCCAGAGAGTTAAAGGCTAGAAAGGATCTGTTCTCAATCTGGTGACAAGACCAAGAAGAGCCTGCCTTGCTCCAATCATGCCTCTCCATTATTTATTTCAGAGACATCTGGGTCCTGGGCATAGTGAGGAAGATTTTTCTGAGAGGACCCAAAGTGGATACTTATCTTCTCCTAAAACAGGGAGCACTGGGAAGCAATGGAAGGCTTAGCAGAGATGGTTCTGTCCTTGGTAAATATGAGCAAAAAGAATATTTTAGTTTTCAAACAAAACTGAATTAGAAGGCTACAGCGTTTTCAAAATTGCTTACCAGGCCTAGTGCATTTTCTGTATTCATAGTAATATCATATATAGAAATAGCTACATATAACTTGAATTTCTTTATGTTAATGATTAAAATAGGTTACAAGTGCCGCTTCAAGTTGCTTTTATTTTTAGTAAAAAGCCAATTGTTTAGAGAATGATTACCTTTAGTCACCAAATAAAACTTTTCAAGAAACAGCAATGTTTCTTCTCATTTCGCCGAGATTAACATGTTGGTAGTGGTGTGTCATCTTGAATGCTGAGGCTTAACATTTTTCCAAGAGAAAGGAAAAAAAGCAAAGAGCATGAAAGGTCATAGAATTCATCCTTCTCCCATTTCACAAAGGGTTCCCGCAAATTGTCCCGAACAGATTAAAACCTGTTCTAAGCATTAAGTCCATCAATAAGGAAGATGTGAACCCCTCACTCTAATTTTTGAGAGGAAAAGTTTGTATCTGAACCAAATCCCTTTATCAGTATTTATAATCTCTGTCTTTCAATTTTCTCCACAGTTAATTATCATTTTTTATTTAAAAAATAACTTTAAAAAAGCTAGCTATGCCCCAAAAGGCAACCTTCAGTAAAACTTTTTTTGAATGTTTTTTGTGCCCAGCTGCCTAGATTTCCCCTCCCCCATATTCCTCCTTGTTTGTTTTCTTGTTTCTCTTAACAAAAGTTTTATTAAAATATACTTTGCATACCATAAAGTTTAACCTTTAAAAGGGTACAATTGAGTAATTTTTAGTATATCTACAGATTTCTGGAACCATCGATATCAAATTCTAGAACACTATTCTCACTGAAAGTCACCCCCAGCCCCCTCTTTCTCAACACTGACAATCCACTTTCTGCCTCCATAGATTTGCCAATTCTGGACATTTCATATAAATGGAATTATGTAGCATATGACTTTAGAGTCTGACTTCTTGTATTTAGCACATTTTCAAGGTTCATCCATGTTGTAACATGACATGCATTACTTTGTACACCCAAATGATAGTCCATTGTTTGACTATCCCACAGTTTGTTATTCATTGGTATTATGGTTGTCCATTGGCTACTATGACTAATGCTACTGCGAATATTTGTGCACAAATTTTCTGTATGACATGTGTTTTCAATTCTCCTGGGTATGTACCTAGAAGTGGATTTTCTGGATCTTATGGTAACTCTATGTTTAACATTCTGAGGAACTATGAAACTGTTTTTACATTACCACCAGTCAGTGTATGAGAGTTTGGATTCCTTTCTGCTACTCAGGAGGCTGAGGTGGGAGGATCACCAGTTTGAGGCCAGTCTGGGCACAATTTAAGAACAAAAAGAATTGGAAGTATAGTTCAATGTTCCCTGGGTGAAATCCCCAGGGCTGAAAATGTTCTATATGTGTCATTACATTTTTTTCCTATTTTCTTGAGAGTCTATTTAGCTCTACTCAAGAGCTGATGAAGCCTTCACTTTGAGTCTGGAGTTGCAAAAGCACTCAAAAGAGAGAAAGGATAGTGTTAGTTCTTGCTCTTGATTTTTACCTTGCAGTGGAGAAATAATAAATGAAAGACGCCATGTAAGGACCCCACAGGGCCGGGGATTTAGCTCAGTGATGCTGCCGCATGCCTCACAAGTACAAGGACCCAAGTTCGATCCCCAGCACCAACAATAAAATAAAATGAAATAAAATAAGGACCCCACTGTTCCACACCATCAGAATCACCTGAAAAGCTTAATAAATATGTTATCAGGGAGTTTCTGTAAAAATCACTCACCCCAGTTAAATATCTTCCAGGTCCTTCTTGCCTCAAACAAAAAATTGGAAAAGATAAGCCTATAACAGAGCCAGCAGTTTATTTGAAAAGTGAGGAGCAAGAGGGTAGGGGAAAAAAGTGGCTCTGCAGAGTGAACTTGGGGCCAACAAAAGAGGAAAGGAGAAAAAGAGCAAAAATAAAAGTACAACTCCCCATTTTGAAGTCACAGAGTGGGCTGAAGAGTCAAGATAGCAGGCTTCTTGTGGCTTCCTGTCTCTTTTGTCACTCACATCTCATACAGGATCCCATATAATTAATAGGTCTCGCTTATTTCCCCAGCTAGCTTTGTCATGCTCTACCTCCTATCTCATATGTTTTTATTACAAAAGTTGTACACAATCATGGTAAGAATGTATCAAGCAATATGGAATAATACAAGAAGAAATAGTCACAATTCCATCATACTAGGTTGCCCTAACTCCTCAGTTTCTCCTGGGAGTCTGTTGGGAATGGACGTAACTATACCCTTCCATCCCTTGGGGTTGATTCCACAGAATTGAGTTAGTGAGAAACATCCTAGCAGATCAGACACAAGGAGGGATGGGTATAGGCCAAAATGGTGAAGGAAATGCCCAGGATTCAGTGGCTCAGGTGTGACACTGCTGGTCTATGTATTTGGTCTAAAGCTTTATGTAACGTAAGTTATTAGTGTGAAATAAATTTGATCATGACTAAAGACGGAGGTGTTTTAGGTATGTGCAGAAGCAGGAAGGAAGGGACTCCATAGGTAAGGTAAAGGAGGTGTGCATGGGGGCTCTGGGCCTGGAGAAAAGCCAGTGTGAATAGACAGCTGGGAAAGTGGCTGGTGCTCTGTGGGAGCCAAAAGTGGGGGTGGACATCAGAGGGTCCCAGATAGAAAAATCAAGGGTGGGAGACACTGTGGATCTATGGGAAAGAAAATGATGTGAAGAGTGTTGTGATGGCTCTAGCTCCTGCCCCTTCTTTGGGGACAACTCTAGGCTCCAATTCTATAATGGGAACAGACAGAAATAGCCCCCTGCTCTCTACAAGGCCTTTAAACCCAGGCATTGCCCTTGAGGACTCTGGGGCCTCCCAAAGCCTGCTCTTCTTCTTTCTCCCCTTCATTGCCCACTCTATTTTTGTTTTTTCTTCTCAGATTACTGATCCTTTTTCAGCCTCCCTTTTCCTTTTCCCCTCCTCCCTTGTCCATAGCAAGAGTACCATAACAAGCGATAAAAAAGCTTTGGGCTACTCAGAGTAAATTGATCCTCTCTGTGAGAAGTGCTAACTCTCTGGTATAATTACTCTCTGTTCCTGGGGGTGAACAGCATATTCTCAAAAGGTTGCATAAGGCTTCTCTTTCCTAACTTGCTGGCTACAGGAGTTACAGTGCAGCATTTTGCCTATCTTACAAGATATTTATAACAAGTGCAACTGGCCTTTACTGTATAGACGCATCTCAGGATCAAAAAGAAAAACATTCCCAAGGTCAGTCTCTAGAATAGATCTAACTTTTGACTCAGAAAAATGAGGCGTCCTAATTCATAGCCTGAGCGCTGATTCACGATGCCATTTTTGTGTGCTGCAAGAGAGCCCAAGTTCAAGATTAACATCTCTCCCTCGCAGAGACCTCTAAAAATACCTTCAACACTCAGTAAAGCAGATTGAACTTGAGTATGAGAGAGGTCAACTTGATTCCTGCTGTTAAATTAATAAACATTGCAAGAGAGAATTCTTTGGCTGTTTTAAAGGGTTAAGGCTAAGGCAAAATGAACAGCAGTTTTTGGAAGCAGAAGTTAGCACAGATGTTTGTGTATGCAGAAAACATGTATTTTGTTCCTCTTTTATTGGCTTCACTGTACAGTTTAACATTTAGCCCTTGAACTTTTCATATTGTAAGTATATTGGCAAAATTGGTGTAATGAACAGAATTCACTTATCCACCATAAATCATTAAAAATCTACTTTCAAAATAAAACTTTTCAGAATTGCATGTAAAATACACTGAAATGCAGTTGCTTTTAATAAATATTCTAAGACTTTAAGCACTGAGTAAGACCTGAGGGTTGTGAGATGTGAATCTTCCAAGAAAAATCATTTATTAATCACAAAGTTGCAAAGTAGAACCATGATCCCCCCAAAATAAGTGCCCAAATCATTATCCAGATACATGCAATTCAGGATTAAACTGGCCCACGCTAGAAGAGATTATTTGTTTGCTTGGAGATCGAAAAACATGACTTCTTTAAACTTTGTTTGTACCTTCTATTTCTGAAAAGTATAAAGAAATTGTTTCCAATCTGTATTCTGTAGTCGAAAGCCCTCCCTATCCTGTAACTTTCTATGCTCCACAAGCCTGGGTCCAATACTTCAGCCAGTCTGGGTCCTTTCCCTTTCCTTTTCCCTTTCCCCTTCCCATTTCCCTTTTCACTTCCCCCTCCCTTTCCCCTTCCTCCTTCTCTCTTTTTGACTGCCCTGCTGAATTTAGTACAGAGTAGAACTTTTGTCCCATTTTCTGTTACAAATGAATGCTCATGTTTTGTCCACAAGATCCTCTAAGATCCCTCTACCCTACACCCTTTCCAAATATTTTGATTGATATTTCTATATTTTGCTTTACAGTAAGAGGGATATCTCCTTTAAAACATCTTTCAAAAGAGATATCTACCCTAATTCTCCTCCAAGCCCTGAATTATCAGTCCTAGAACACCAAGCTTATGGCAGTTTTTAAGAAAACAACTTTTCATGGGTTATTTAGAGGTTCAAAAGCTGGAAAGAAATATTGCTGTCATCTGTGTCAACTGATTCACTCTACATATAAAGAAACAGAGAAATCGGTCATATTGTAAGACTGCAGTCACCTGCCTACCCATGTGGTTGTAGAGCTGTATCAACTTACCCTTGTGATGTGTAGATCAATTCAAACAGGTAAGTTAATAAATCCACGAATGAAAATATATCCACTTGCTAAGTGACATGAGAGTTATAATAATCTTAAATAGCGTCTTTTGGTTGTGGGGTGGGTGCAGGAAAGTAAAACGTATTATTTCTGATAAAACAACTCCATGGATTATATATATATGAATATTCTGAAGCTTCAGTTTAAGTGCCCAGGAAATCAGAGGTATTTGCAGTTAGATTATAGAGGATTCTTTAGGAAAGCTTCTGTTTCTCAAAATAAGGGCAATCAATCTAGGGAACAGCTTCAAGTTTCTTTATTTCCAAACAGACTTTTAAGCTGTTTTTCTTCACTGAAGAGGCCTGACAAGGGAGATTACAATGAAGATCATGGAGTTCTGTGAATACTGCCCTCTCTGTGGTTCATCAGAGATGCCTAGATCCTCTTGGGCCACAGAGCTGCAGAACACTCACAGTACAAGAAAGCCTCTATGGTTTGGAAGTGCATTTAATCCTTTTCTGTTCTGACCTTTTCCTCGACGCAGCCCCCAGCCCCCCGCCCCGCCGCCTAGCTGTAGCTTCATTTACTGCTGTCTCAGTTGCCTACATCAATCACAGTCTAAGACTATTAAATAGAAAATTCCAGAAACAGAGACCATATTCACATAAATTTCTTATAGTGTATTGTTATAATCATTCTATTTTATTAGGAGTTACTGTTGGTAACCTCTTACTGTATCTAGTTTACAATTAAACTTTACCACAGATATGTACCAGAAAAATCATAGTATATATAAGGTTTAGAACTATCTGAAGTTTTAGGGATCTAAGGGGGTATCCTGGAAGGTAGTTCCATGTCTAAATAGGGGACTACTTTACTTTGGTTCTTTCTCTCCTTCTATTCTCTGTTAATTGGAGTTCAAGAAGAAGCTTAATTTACCATTAAATTCAGTACTTGTCTGGTATATGAATATTTTCCTTAATGGTCAACAAAAACTGGCTGCCTATTTTCTTCCTGTACATGTCTAACTTACTAAGGTGTCCATCCTATTTTTCACTTGTTTTGTTTTTTTATAAAATATTTTTTGTATCTGCCAGAAAGTTTTTCTTTCCACAATTTTTGCCATTTGTCTTGATTTAGCCTCTAGGAGACAAAGATTTCTAATAACTCTTTAACACAACAACTCTTAAATTGTAGTTATTGTTGAAAGCCAGTTCTCATTAGTCTCTTTTGTTTCTGCATGTCTTTCCAGCAAAGGCCCTCATGCTAGTTTGTCCTTTTTGAGGAGGTTTATTTAAAGATAGTATTGCCCTTCTTTCTGGTAAACAGTTGGACCAGTTGGCTTGCAGCCCATTATAAAAGACAGGAATTTCCTAAGCTCAAGGTCCCTCTCCTGAAAATCAATCCACTATGGGTACAAGCTTTATCTGGCTCTCCTTGAGTTGCTCAATGGGAATTAGGGCTTAAGGAATGGGCATAAAAAATACTGATACCGTGAGTACTGTATTGCTGTGAGTAATAAACTATCCATTGTCTCTGACCCAGGAGTCATGTGTCTTATGCCAACATCCTTGAAACTGTGGCACACTGACTTATTAGCTTGTAATTCTTGACAGTTATCATACTCCTTGGGAACAAACAACTACAGTTCCTTTGGTCACTCTTCATACTGTTATATGTTTTGAGTTGTCTCTTGCTCTTATCAAAAATTCTGTATATTCATCAGTTTAACTATGATTAGTACCTAGAAAGGAAAATAAAAGTTCATGTGTAGTCTGACTAAAATGAGTGGAACCAAACTGTCATTTCCTTTGTTCTGAAATACACAGGTCGTAAGGCTACACAAGATGAAATGATATTTTTCAGCAGTCACATTACTGTTGACTAATATGAAAGGTCACAGTCAGCTCTTAAGCTTTTAAGGATTTTAATCTATGGTAAAAGTAGGAATTTACATGCCAGCATTATGTCAAATATTCCCATCCTATCCTTGTAGTGTTTTTCTGTGTATCCAAGTCCAAGAACTTATAAGTTCCCTTTTAAAATTTCATTATATTCTATTTGCTACATTATTCTAGGCTCTTCATAACCTGATCCCCCCCATTATCATATTCATAGTATTCCCATTTCTGTGTTTACTTTAAGTTGGCTGAGCAAGCCAACTATATATTTATTCACATTAATGATTACATTTTGAAAATATCAGAGACACAGAAAGTCCCTGGGCTTTGGTGCAGAGATCTCAATGCATTAAGGAGTCAATTGG